AAAAGAGAAGATTCTTACTATCGATCTTATAAGAAAGAATAAGCTTTTATATTTAATTAGAAGAAGTCTATAATTAAGAATCGCTATAAGATTTAGAGATTAACTAATTAATATACTAGTTAATCTCTAGATCGAGGAAATAAAGATAAGAAAGATATTATAGAGTATCTAATAAAATAAAAAAACTAGAAAAAAGCTTATAATATATAATATAAAGTAAAAGATTTAAAGAATATAAAGAATTTAATTTATAATTATGATTTAAAGTATAAAAAACGCTTATAAAGAGAGTATTAAAAGAGGAAAACTTAGAATATCTATATAAGCTCGTAGTATAAAAATACTTTCTTACGCTATTAATATATTATTAAACTAAATATTAAATAAAGTATAGTTTTTAGACTTATAAAGCTATTAGATTATAGATATAATTTACTTTATTAAGTTATATTCTTTAATATATTATTATATAAAAGTTTAAGTTCGAGAATTTTAGAAATATCGAAAGTTTTAGAAATCTCAAAAATTTTAAAAAACTTTATAATTTATAATCGCGAAGTGAAGTAACTTAATTAACCTCTTATTTCTTTTTTTTATCTTATTATATTTTCTTTTAACACTTTATAATTAAATATAATTCTACTTTTTAAGAAAAGATATTTTATAATTCTTATAATTTAGATATTAATACTAAGAAAGTAAAACGCTAATAATTTTATTTAAGATTTAAAATAATAGAAATAGCGAATCTTAATTACTTGAAGTTAATTCTCTAGAATTAAATCGAATATATTTCTAAATAATTTAAATTCTTTCGATTTAGTTTTATAGATCTCGATAAAATAATTAATTATATTTAATTAGAAGTAAAAGAAGATTTATGCTCGAAATAGTAGAATTACGAAAGTTTACTATAATATATTCTTAATCGTTCTTTCTAAATTTATCTAGATTATTTTTATAAACTTAAAAACTTTTAAATAAATACGCTTTATAATTAAGATCCTTATCGTCTTTATTTATAGCGAGACTATTTTATATAAGTATTAAGTCTTTTTTATTAAAATTTAAATAATTTTCTTAATTTCGTAGCTCGTTACTTAAGAATATCTCTTATCTCGAGATTTAAGTTAATCTTATATTAAATATAGGATTTATTTAAGAATAAAGATTATTATTAAAATAAGACTATTTTTATTAAGAAAGTAATTAAAGATATTAATACTTCTTTTTATAATATAAATCTTTCGAATACTTAAATCGTTAAGATAGTAGATATATAAAGCTTTATTAGATTTTAGCGATATTAATATTAGCCTTAAGTCTTCGTAAATAAATATCTATATTAGAATTATATTATAAAAAACTAAATAGCGAAGATAGATATAAAAGACGATAAGGGAATTAAGTAATATTATAAGATTATATTCGAAATTTAATAAATATATAAAGATAAAAAGAAAAATCGTAATTATTCTCGAGATATTAACGTTTATATTAATAGTATAAAATATAATAATTATAATCTTTATTAAAGATCTTTCTACTTTATTTAAAACTCTAAATATAACTTCGAGAAGATAAAAAAAATCGCTATAAAGAAGATAGATTTTTTAAAAAAGATTAAAAATATTTTACTAGAGATTAAGAAATAGATAATATCGTTATCGAATACTAATATAAAATAACTTAAGAAGAATAAAGTCTTAATCTATAAGACGAGGTCTAGAATAAAAAATATTACGATTAAAGTTAAATTTTTAAAAAAAATTGCTAAGAAGTCGAAGACTAAGAAGTTAAAAGTTAAGAATTTAAGTAATAAGATAATAATTAAGAAAAAATCGATTTATTAGCTATTTATCTTTAAGAATTTAAAACGATTTAGAGATTAAGAGTACTTTTAATAGAGTATATAGAACTCGATAATTCGTTTAAGTATATAACGATATTCGAAGTTATTATAGCTAGTTTTCTTTAGAATATAAATAAATCTATTAATTAAGAGATAATTAAATCGACGATATAGTTAATATAACTTGATATTAATTAAATAATTAACTAATATAAGACTTTATATTAAGAATAGATATTTATAAAAGCGAACAATTAAAACCATAGATCTATTTCTTAAAATAACTTAATTCTTAAGATTATTTAGATAGATCTTTACTTTATTTATATTTTAAATATATAATAGAAATAGAGTATTAGTCTATATTACGTGAAAGTTAACTCGATTAATAAATAAATTTACTATAAGTTTTCTAATTAATACTATTATTCTAATTCTAAATTAGGCGATAATACTATTAATAATAATATTTAATTATATATTAAATTCTCTTATATAGACTTTTACTTAATTATATCTAGTAATAAATATATATATAACTTTAATATTTAATATAATACTATAAAATTACTTTAAAATATATTAATTAATATTAAGAAAGCTATTAGATTTAATAATATTATAATATATAAAATAGTTAAAAAACTCTAAGTAATATATTTAAACTTAATTTAATATAACTATAAAAGTAATTATAATAAAAATTTTAATTTTCTTTAAATTAGTCTTTTAAATATTAAGAGTTTAGATTTTAAGATTCTCGATCTTATTCTTTTAATCTTTAAACTCTTAAATATAGAAGTTATATCGCTTATTAATAAAGTCGATAAATCGCTTAGCGAACTTATTTCGAGACTTTTAGCGTTTCTTATTAATATACTTAATTAATTAATAGTCTATCTTTCTATAAATAAAATATTACTTTTTCTAAAAGCTATTTATCTATAAAAGTAATCTATTATAATTACTTTAATTTAAAGATTAATTAATATAATACTTTTAATTAATAAAGTATATTATAGATTTAAATAGCTTAAATCTCTTAGTTTTTATAGTCTCTTTATAATTCTTAATTATAGTATAAATATTATTAATTAATTCTATAATTATAGTCGTTTATTATAGAATTATAGTAGTATTTATAAGAATATTACTATAAGAAATAACTATCTTATTTTAAAGTACTATATTTAATTAAAATTCGTAGTTTAAACCTCTTTAAATTTAATATAATTTCTAAATTATTTTATAGAAAATAGTTTCTTTATTCTTTTTAAGATTAGCTCGAAGTAAGCCTCTTAAATTAATATTATTTTACTTATAAAGTATAAGGCGATAATATTCTTCTCTCTCGAAATAGCTTTAAAATTAATCGAAGAGTTATTAGATAATAAGATTAATTTCTTAATAACTAGAGTAATAATATTTTAATATTATAGATTTTAATATAGTTAAAAATACTATTTAAAGAATCTATTAGAGGATCTCGACTCTTATATAGAGGTTTATAAAAATTATAAATTTATAGCTAAGACTCTTAATAGAATTTCTATTATACTTCTTCTCGATAGTATATAATTTAATTAGAGTAATAAGTTTCTTATTATAACTATAATTTTATTTATTCTCGAAATTTTAAATAACTTAATAAGGCGAGGATAGTAGATATAGAACTCGATAGTTTAGACTATAGTTTAAGGTTAAGAGAGAAATCGAAGTAGAAATCTCTAGTTAATAAGACGATTATAAGAAAAAAAATCGTATTCTTTAATCGATAAGATTAATTATAAGCATTAAATTTAGATAAGTGATTATAAGAGAGAAATATATTCTTCAATCGATAAGGCTAATTATAAGACGATTACGAAGAAAATAAATAGTATTTTTTAATCGAATAAAATTAATAATTACTCTACGATTAATTAACTACTACTAAGAAGAAGAATATTATTATTACTTTAATAGCGAAAGAGAAGTATTCCATGCTCATCTTTTATCGTGCACAGCGGAGGGCCAGCGGCTTTGGTCTACACTTTACAGCTTGATGTTCGGATGAACCGGCACCCTCACCGTATTCATCGTCATTGGCGAACTGTCCTCTATGCCACCGACCGCGGGTATACAATATCACTGGGTCAGCTTCCTTTCGCGTCCTCGGCTTCAATGATACCCGAGTCACGTCACCGGTATGGCTGTCAGAACCTCGATTACCTGACCATCATCTCAATTATATTAGGGTGGCTCACGGTAGCGGGCTGGATCGTAACTTTCGCAGCGACATCGTTCGGTGTCAGTAGTTTGGCCCAGAATCCAGCTGCGAGACCCAGGAAGACTAGTCCCCGGAAAGGTGGCAAGGAACACTCATTCATTGAGGATTGTTACCATCTTGCGTGGGATTCAAGATTATCTTCAGCCCCGCACTGCCAATCATAGGTGTTCTCATCGTTATGCTCCATATCCTAGGATTTCTCGCTGGCTTGTTATCGGTTATGAGCCCAAGTCCGCATGTGGCAGCGGACAAAGCCCTTACTACCTTTTTAAATGCAGGCGGTTGGAGCATGAACACACTAGCCTTTTTTGGAATCAATGGTAACGCAGCGGCGTTTCTTGGTTTATCTCCACCATGTCATTCTTCGACCAGGCTAGCCAAAGGACTAGGAACTGATGTTGCCGTACATGTAGGTCATTACCCGCCCTGAAGGCGAATCCTGCAGTGCTGATCCAAACCCTGCAAATGTCGGAAGAGATTCAAAACGTATCCACCAATATCCCACGTGCTATGGTAGCTAGTGTCGTCATTAACGGCGCGCTTGTATTTAGGATACCACGGGCTCTACACTCGCGACGTGAGCATCGACTCCATATCAACCGATCAGTGCCCGGCTATTGAGATTTTGGCTTGGGCAACGCAATCGACAACTGCAGCGATCATCATGCTCACACTTGTGGCCCTACTCACATTCGGTGCATGTACAGGATCTTTAGCTGCCGCTTCCAGAGCGAATCTTTCTTTAATTCAATCATTGACATATTCGTAAATTGTACAACTTCCCAGAAGTCAATTCACTCCATTCGACTCATCTCGCCCCACAAAGAAGCGCTGTAATAGCAATCATTACTGCCGTTAACAGCTTTCCTGGCATATAGTTCATGAAACCACGTGCGTTTCCTGGGAACGGTTGCACACCGAAAGCTGTACCGTTTCCCGAACCCGGAGTCGTGTTGGTTCCTGGGACAAACGGAGATTCTGGCGACGGAAAGGGTCCCCTTGACCCAAAACCTTCAATGTAAAGCCACCCAACCCCCCTGTCCTCGGACCGTCAAGTGCTATGGTTTTCGAGCCAACCACTGCCTCACCAGCTGGATCCAGGGATACTGGAATTTCGCCGACGGTCACGCCTGGAGCCCCTGAAGACAGGGTAGAGCCTGCGACCTCGACACCATTTGGAGCGGCGGTGACGGCCTCGCCGGCCACTGTGGTAATGAATGGCGTTGTCTCCTCAGCTGGTAGTGAAACAGTGCTGCTGCCTACCATGAGGGCTACGGAGCCAAGCGATATGGGGGTGCCGGGCACGGTGATAGGCGGCGCACCCGGTGTAAGAGTCGTACCGGCGACGGAAATGCCATTGGAGAGCCGCTGGACGGCTTCGCCGGCTATTGTCGTTACTTGGCCTGCTATTGTGGGCAGCGAATATAGAGCGATAGCAATTGTGCTGGTGCCTATAACGAGAGCAGATGCGCCGAGGGATACACGGGTGCCGGATACAATGATTGGAGGAGCACCTACAGTCAGACTTATACCGGCAATTGAAATGCCATCAGAAAGAGGCTAGATGACTTGGCCATCAATTGTAGTGACCTGACCCCCAATAAGAGGCAGAAGAGTCGGAGACGGCAGAGCTTGAGCGGTGCCACCCCGGATAAGGTTGTAGGATGGGTCAAGGGAGACTGCCGTACCTAAGACAGAGACTGCGGGAGCACGAGCAGTCAATATTATACCATAGATTGAGACTCCGTGTGCGAGCGGGACTGCGACTACTCCGTTGGGCAACGTCGTTGATGAGGCAGGGTTCGCCGTAGGAAGAAGGTAAGGAATTCATCCCAGATAGAGCTGACTCGATGAATCGACAGAGACTGACGTACCGGCAATCGCGACGGCAGCTGCGCCAGCAGTAATCACAGCGCCGTCGACCGAGACGCCGTCGGCAAGAGGGGTAATTGCATGACCAGCGATTGTTGTGGCAGGAGCAGCCGGAGTAGCCGGGGGTACAATCTGGTGGGCAATCACGATGCTGTTACCTTGATTGATAGCAACGACTCCAGAGATTGTCGCTGGAACTTCAGGTTTGACTTTCACACCATCGACTTGGACCCCAGAAGTGCCGGCGACCACAGTGTGGTCACCAACTGCCATTGTGGTCGCAGATGGGTCTGAGATTGGATCACTTGGGCTGCTCGAAGATTTTACTTCTCCACTATCTCCACTGCCGCCCTTTGCATCATTGGGCTGCTTTGGGTCATTTGGCAGGATGGGGTTCGTGCCTGGCGCAGGATCTCCATTGCCTCCCAATACCTTACTCGATTGCTTTGGATCATTCGGCAAGCTGGGGTCTGTCACTAGTCCGGGATCTCCACTGTTTCCCGTTGCGTTTTTCGGTCGCTTTGGATCACTCGGCTGGCTTGGATCCGCTCCTTGGTCAGATTCCTCACCCGTGCCACCCTGATCATTAGGGTCGCTACCGGATCCACTTTGGCCAAGACCTAGCTTTGGGTCTGTTGTGTTCTCCGGCAAGAGCGAACTCTGACCTTGCGTAGGTGTAGGCATCGGCTCGTTGCCTACGGCAGTCTTTCTGGCTCCAGGGTCATGAATGGGACTGGGTATCGGCACCACTGGAGGGCTTTGAGGATCTTTGGCAGTGACAATAGGCGCAAGTGCTGTTGCTGGTCTCAGAACGCTTGGTGGGGCGTACGCCGTAAACCATAATGCTGTACAATTTCCAGCCCAGGGGTCTATCTCCAAGACTTTGCTAGGTATGGCGATGAGGGGGCGGTACGGTTCGCCAGGCGCTGGTTTGTACCAGATTGCTTCCTGAACGATTTTACGTTAGCGAGCCACCACGTCTGACGCAATGAGTGTGTAAGACTCACCATTACGCTCTGTGGAGGGTAAGCCAAGTCGGCAAAATTGAACTGACTCGTCGCTGGGTGGAGCGTATCATGGAGAGGCCCGGCAATCGTCGAAAGCTCTCCAGGAGAGAAGGTGAGCATTGTCGCTGGGATATCTCCCGTCGATCCCCGGGTTCCGCAGAAATCCGCTACAATTATACTGTGGAAGTTGGCGTAGATAGAGGGAGAAGTAGTGGCGTTGTATTTAGCATTGGCATGCTCAAGACATGATCTGGCCAGCAACTCACAACGTGAAGCCCCCAATCACGATAGTGCTCGCTGGCAGGCCGTCGTTCTGGGTTATGTTAGGTGGAAGCACCAACGAGTGGCCACGGGCATGAATGGATGCATGGAAACCGCGAGCTTCAATGGAGATGCTTGGGCTTGGGAATGTGGAAGCCTTCGTAACACAGGATGGCGCCAACCATGGATCCACTAACGGTTCATTGAAGGTTCCAGGACCGATACTCATAAGTTGAGCAGTTGTTACATAGGATGGCCCGGAAAAGAAACCTTGACCTGTGCATCCCCAGTACGTTGTTGCCGAGCCCGTTGTGGCACCATAGAGGGGTGGAATGACATCGCTTCCAATAACGGTAAGACAAGATGTGTTTGCGTCGGGATCCGGCCAGTAGTAAACGTCGACGCTCTCCGCGCTGATGAAGCAAATATCACAGCAAGTGGTTCCAAGCGCAGATGTGACTGGAGTTTGTCCCGGCATCAATTGTTGCTCCGAAACACTCGCCAAGCATTGTGGTGATCTCATCCAATCTTTGATGACAGCGAACTCGAACATGACGTCTTGAGATACATGTTTGCTGCAATCCAACGATGTGTTGTGAGGGTCGACGAAGCACTGGTTCTCTTAAAGGAAAGCTGAGGTGCCAGCACCCCAGGAGCCATCGAAGAAGTCGTCGAGAGCTAACGTCTTGTTCCCAGTACAGGAGGTATTCCACAGCAAACATTCATCATTGAGGTGTAGAGGTTGATCCGGTCCGACAACGCTTGTTGTCATACCGGTGTACGTGCAATCTTGGTTTCCAAGATAACAAAGTCCATCTTGTTCATCAGTATCCAGAGTATTTGAGGTCCCAGGAGGAGGTGCGGTAATGGTGCTGGTCAGGCCGTAAGATCCATTCGAGACAGTGCTGCTGAAAGAGCGAGTCTGGGAAACATTGTACGCCTGCAACGAAAGCCTACCTGTTGGGATCTCAGAGACCACTCGCGACGAAGGGTTCGAAGTCCCCCCCTGTAAACGTCGAAGGTTCTGGGAACAGGCTGCCGTCGACGCTGTAAATACCCAGAATGCAGACTGACAGTAGCAATCTGGTCTCACGAGCCATGCTGTTGGTGGTTCAACCAGACAGACGTGAGACGTGGAGTGCTCTTGAAAGGGCAAACCACTCATAAGAATAGCTCGAACCGAATGCTGCGGTGCCTTAGCTCAGCTCGTTCACAGTGTGACGGAGGCAAACTGGAGGTTCGCTATCACCAGTTACTGCTCAGTTAGGGGAGAAAAGAGTCAATTTCAACCATGGGGGACTGGCGACGCGATGGAGAGCAAGGAAAGCAATTGAAAATAAAGAGAATGACAGTGCATCCTACGTTCTTGTTGGCTGAAAAGAGCCTTGAAGTCGAGCCCAGTCGCCTCCGGGCAGGGCCCAGCTCATAGCAATGCCCCCGGTCCCCCAAGCCCCATAGCCTCGAGCACTTGGTGGCGAGCCTCGATGCTACGGCGGCATTGCTCTGGACCGATTTAGGGCGCGCTGAACCAAACGCGGATTGTTATTTTCCTGTGTAACTTCCTCACGTTCCCCTCCATTTTCATTTTCCAACTCCTCTTGGCACCTAGACAAGGCTGTACAGGTAACGGTACCGGATGCTATTCCCTCTCGCAAGATTTGCCGATTTGCCTACTTGTAACCCTTTCGACGAAAAAACCTGTGGACTGCGGTTCACATTCATGAATTCGCCCACACTCAAAGGGACGAATTTGCCGTATGACTGCATGGCCGAAAACGAAAGAGCAACGAATCACAGGTCGTCCAGCGGATGATGCAGATTTTCTCATATCAGGCAAGGCAGTCTTTAGCCCAGGCTAGACAGACAGCCTCGTTCCAGGAAAAGAACAGAATGACACCGCCGTCGGGACAGGAAGGTTCGTCGAGATAGCATCGGCCTTCAAGCAAGCGAGTAGGATTCTCCCAACGCACATCGATCGTTAGGGAGCGGTCGGCACCAGAAGTCCCGGACGGCGCCGGTACCGGCTCCCGCAAGGTACTCTTGGCTCCGCATCGAGGGACCCCGGGGCTCTCTCCTGGGAGCGGGTATCGAAGTCCAGGGATCTCTTTTGGGCGTGAGAGGTCCCGGACCGGGCTGGGGCTTGGTGCATTTCCGGATTATCTACCCTTCGAGGTATTTTTGCTCTGTTTCTACAACGTTACACCGTGCACGCAGAATTTGGAATCGGTTTTTATAGTCCTCAATAAGAGAACGAAGTCCCACTGTCAGTAACCATTTTAAGTCACTCAAAGATGTCAATTGGTCTCTTCGACGCATGTGGAGTTCTCCACGTACCTCCAGGCGATGCCGCGGAAACCGGATCTGACTACCTGAACAATGTCGATGCAATCTTTTAGGAAACGGGTTCGAATCATACTCTAGCTGGGGGACTTTTCGATGCAACGCGAACACCTTGCCGCACATCGATCCTTCAATCAAGAAGAGAAGTTCCTCCGCCGAACGGGTGCCCTCTAGAGCCGCGGACTTGTTCGGTGGGCTCATGATTGAGGTATGCTGACAGAGAGGGCAGGACGTTCGCATAGAACAGATGGGAGCAAGACGACTGGATGACAAATATTCAATCGATCTTTGCACGATAAAGGAGCTGCAGCCGGGGCTTGACGGATGGCCTCGTTCTAGAAAGCTGCATGTCACTGCAGTCGTAAGAAAAGAGCCTTGTTCCAGTGTCCCCGCCTGTGCTTCGGCTTTTTGCCTGTCAGAGGATGTATTGTGAGCGAGCGAGTTGGACACAAGGGCATACGTGACTGCTTTTTGGTTGATTATATGAAGCTATTTTGGCAAGACCGGTTTATTAATTTTCTTCACAAAACCCTTCGGCAGTAGAGCTGCTTGGTGTGAGGACAAGAAGAAGTTACCTGGCACCATCGGTTAAAGAACGTAACGGAACCTGGGGCCATAATCTTCGACGGCACAACCGGCGCCTTGATCCATCTCCCTTCCTTCCCCTGCTTTGTTGTCGTATCTCTGGTCGAGCTTTCTATTCTCCCACACCAAAAGGATTCGTAACGCCAAGGCCATTACCGCGGCAAAGAACATGAAAGCGGCACAGATGCTCATCCCCTTGACATACCGTGGGCCTTGCGCTGTGGGGTAGAGTCTGGTGCCCAGAATTGGACCACACTGTCCGATGACGTTGATGATGACGAGCCCAGCCCCACGGCGGGTATCGCTGCCTTGGTTGTCTAACAATTTCAGAGTCAGCGCTGACCTCCCAGCCTTGTGGAGAAAGTCGAAAGGGGAAAGTTCGGGGCCGGGAGGGGCTTTGTAGACGTACTGAGTGTCCATGCCAGAATGTTAGGAATGGTAGAGAAAACGCCGGCAGCGGCCAAGTAGACGGCAAAGTATCGGACTCCGACGGTGGTGACTGTTGCAAGGACAATGTAGCCAATGCCCCCTATCAGGGACGTGATTATGAGGACCAAGCCCCTCTGCTGTGTTCTGTCTGCAATGAAAGTTGTAATGTTGGCGAACAGGAATGCGGTGAAGTATGGCGGAGCTGACAGGCCCTGGGCGTTGATGTCACTGTATCCCATCTTGGCCAAAATGGTGGGAAGGTAGACCGGCAAGCTCGCATAGCTCACGTTGACGCTAAAGTACATCAACTTCAAAATCGGTCAGCTCTACTTGAAATGGTGCAAACGGCGACGAGAGAGAAATTTGGAATGAAAGACCTCGATACGTACAGCATAGCACCACGCTTTCGCGTCATACAATGTCTGAGCAAGTTGCTTTAGGTTCACACCTCCGATTCTATCGCTCGTACCCGTTTGTCGAACAGCCCGGGACTTAGCAATGGCCTTCTCCTCGGCGTTGAGGAATCTCGCATTATCTGGCGAATCCGGTATGAAGAAGAAGGCTATCGGGGCAAGAAGGATGGTCGGGAGACCCTCAACCAGAAAGAGGAGCCTCCAGTTACTGAGCGAAGAGTGACCGCTCGTGATGCCGTAGGCCAGAGCCCCAGCGAATGTGGACGCGAGGGGAGCCGCTGAAGCGAACATGCCGCACCTGAAACCGACTTCATGCCTGAGATAGAAAAATGACAATAGGTAGATAACACCGGGCCTAGGAGTTAGCCGCCAGTGTCAGTCAAACAGCACGAGAGCGCATCAAGTCTTTGACGAGAGTATCGAAAGCTGTGCTTACGCGTAGGCCGCTTCAAAAGCACCAAGGAAGAACCGAAGAGCCATAAGCCCACTCCAATTGTGAACCACAGATTGTAGAGTCGCGATCACGCCCCTGGCCATGCAACATTAGACCTTCTGCTTTCGCCCGTGATAGATTTTGAGCTGGGAGAGGGGGAAAGGCTTGCTCACCAACAGAACACGACGACTGCCGCTACTCGGTGAGGGGGAAAGATTTTCCAGAAAAGGAGGGAGAATTCGAAGACAACGTAGGTGATGTAGAAGATTGTCAACAGCCACTCATATCGATCTCCCACCAAGTGAAGATCGCGTGTCATTCCGGCTATGACGGCGTTGCCAATGTTGCTGCGGTCAAGAAAGGCAAGCATGTCTAGAGAGACGAGGGACGTGAGCTACACTCCCAGGAGGAAGGTTACTTGACGGCAAAAGCATCCTACTTACAAAGGACGAAGAAGAGCGGCATCAAGTGCCAGTCAAGTTTACGGCGCACACGAGCCTCGGCCGCTCCATTGTACTCGGTTGGACTTTGTAACTCTGCAGCTTTCAGCTCATCAATGCGTTTCGGGTCGAGGTCTGCCATGTCCTGAGGGTGGGTGGATTTAGAGATCCTTCAGGAGGTTGCTTTAAATTCCCAACTTTTTGGCAGTGGGCACAGTCACGGAAGTCGAAAAGAAAGAAAAGTGGAAGAGGGAGCAGCTACTCGTGAAGGGCAAGGAAACGATCAAAATTCGTTGGGCAGAGAAATGAATCCTGCCAAGACGGAAGGATGCATTTTACTAGTAAGGTACTCTACTTGTAGTACCTAGGATTGCGATCCTTGGCAGAGCAGACGCTGATTCTTGTGTGTCTCATCATTGAAGTCGTGAATTTATCATTCGAGCGTTAGACAACGCCTTTAAAGCTGACCTGAAATCAAAGCAATCGAAGTGTTATAAAATGTTCAGGGGAGAACGGATCCGACAGCCTCTGAGGCTAATCTGAAGTTAAAGTCATCGAAGCGTCATAAGATAATCATGCAGTCGCAGATAACGCATCCGATTGCTTTGATTCATTAAGGGTGTAAGACAATTTTCGTGATGCATGCATATTGCTTGCACGTCAGAGTCGCTGTGCTTTCAAGCAATTCTGTTTGGATTAGCTCCAGAGGCATCTTTTAACGCTCGAATAATGATATAGCTCTAGTAGTCAGATATTCGTCCGTCAGCCATTGTTCAGCGGAGGATGGTAATCCTCGTATACCGTACCTTACGCCGCGGGTGACCGTGCTTTTTAGAATGCTTCCAAGCTTACGAATACGGTGTACCTTAGTGTCCGCCAGCGCCAATTAGCTTTCGAGACGTACCGCCGGGGCGGCTCGCTATTGGACTAAAGATTTCATCCGAACTACCCCATTGTTCGCCCGAGTACCTAAAGTACTTGTTTCATCTTAGGGACGACTTTTTGCCGCTGGAAAGCTGCCCCAGTGGTGACTGGCAATCAGCACCCCCCTGATCAACAGTAATGACTATGCCAAGGCGGTAACATATACCTTGAACCTAAGCGTGAACCTCGGCAATTAGTCACTCGCACTGGTGAGACCGTAAGATGGGGAGATGGGGGGGTACAACGATGGCACCAGACATTATTTCTCGTCGAGGACGAGATTTTGTCGTTGGAAGGTTGCTTGAGTGGTGACTAGCAATTAGTACTCTCTAGTATGCGCCGGCAATGGTGGTGTGTTGGAGGTGTAGATTGCGTAGCCTTCTGAGCTCCGCATACAGTTGCATCCTTCTACAGATACCTACCACATCGGCTGAATAGCGTGCCAAAACCGCCTCCTCTTCAGCACCAAATTTAATTCGTGCACCTTCGGGTAGACTAGTCAACCGACATGAAAGGCATCATACCTCGTCTCAGCCAATCGATTGAGACGCATCTCAGCCCATCGCAGGCCTCAACACCTACCCATGCCGGCCCGTCTCATGCTGTGCGGGGCTGGGGCATACCCAGGGTCCAGAAGGATGCGATCGACGTGAAATTCCCCTACCGAGCATGATCTTACTACCCTTACCCTATTTGGATATGAGGCTGGATACCATTAGCATTTTGTTAAAAGCCTGCTCTGCGCAACCTCGTAGGATCTAGGCACGATTCTTACCCTTATGAAACGTGATTGATGACTATGACTACTCCACAGGTGACTTCTGCAAACTTTGGCGGAGACAGGCGACCGGCGCTGTATGGGACTCTCGTAACCTTTCTCGTGCTGAACAACCTTGCTGTTGTGGCACGACTTGTCGCACATTACCGGGCACACTATAGGATAGGGGGGCGTATCTTTCCCGAAGACGTCTTCGTCCTTCTAAGTGGGGTTCGTGGTCATCGTCGAAGGAAAAGAGTTAACACTTGACTTACTGTGTTTAAGATCTGCGTGAATGTTGTCATCGGGAATCTCTTGGCCTGTATGTCCATTTTCATTGTGTGCAAAAGCCTTTGTTCTGATACAAATCTCAAGCAACCCATTATGGACTTGGACTTCATTCATGGAGGATCAATGCCGAGGATCCGCATATGCCCCGAAATATCTCGAACATCTTCAAGGTTCGTCAACTCACTTTCCATGCTCGGGTCATGATGGCAGCTCTGACATATTCGGTCTTGTAGCATGTCTGGCTGTGTATGGTGTTCGTGGGCCCCACTTTCACCTTCATCAAGCTCTCTCTTCTTTTCTTCTACCGCCGCCTGTTTTTGGTCAACCAGAAATGGCTGCGCGTCGCCTGGTGGGCCAACATGGTCTATGTCATCCTGTGGTTCTTTGGGGCAACAGGGTTTTACATCTTTCAGTGCTGGCCGGTTCAATGGTATTGGACACGGTACTATCAAAGATACCACGTTGGACCACCAATCGCAATGAAGGGCCAGTGCAAAGCTACCACGGTTGCACATGTTGCCATGCCTCTGATATTTAGCCTCATCTCGGACGTTGCCCTCTTGTTACTACCCCTCACAGCCATCTCGAAGCTTCAAATATCATTGAAAAAGAAGCTCGGTCTTGCTTCCATATTCTCAGTCGGAGCACTGTAGGTATCTTCCACCCAGCTGGACACCATCCAGGCGATACGTATTTGAAGCTAACGTGGCGGTCACCGCGCGTAGTGCTTGCCTTCTAGAACTTGCCCGAATCGTGGAATTGGAGGTTGACACCGACGACCAGAGTGACCCCAGTTGTAAGCGTGTCCCCAACCACATTCTGCGTTGCGACACAAAGACTGACCAATTGTAATGATCTAGACGGTGTGGTGGTATTTCTCATCCTCTCGGTAGCTGAAGAAGTGTGCGCCATTATATGCGGGAGTCTGCCTGTTGTGATCCCGCAGCTCTTCCGCGAATACAAGAGCTCGAGGGAACGCTCTTCGCAGAACAAGGACCGCAGCTACTCTATGGATCTTGGAGCTATAACTCAGTCACGAAGCATGGTCAAAGGATTCGAAAAGCTTGGTGAAGGGTCGGGCGATCGGGCATACGAGAGTCGCAATCTGGCCGGCGAGCGAATCGACTGGGCTTGCGGCTCGATTCCAGCGAATACCGTGGTCGCCGAGACCATTCCTCATACTGAGGATCCCGGTGACGCTCAAATTGTTGTCCAGAGGAATTATGAAGTGACTGTAGGAGGCTCAGTCCCGCAGGTCGTGTAAAGACAATGCGAAACTTCCTTATGACGAATGTATCCCTGAAGCCTTCTTCATGTTAGAAGTCACAGTTTTCATCTTCTTGTTTGACCGATTTTTCGCTTTAGAGTCCCCAGGGGCCAATGAAGCCGCAGGGGTCTATGGGGACAACGGCGAAAGCAACAGAGGATGAACGATCCACCGGATCGCTGTACAATGAAGATCCTTCGACCTTGGCCGGTGATTAGTCTAATTCTAGTAGAATTGCGTACCATCGCTGTCATGAAGATCTGGTATACCCCTTCCAAATGATCAGCCTTGTATGTAGTAGTGGATAGGCGGAGAATAAGAGACGCGGATGTGTGTGTTCTCGTGGACGCGGCAAGTACCCCTTAAGGTTAATTCAGGGATCAGAATCTGCTGTTTCTGAAACAATAGGAATTGAAACCGCATGCCACCCGCTCTCAATCCAAACACATATAGAATGGCCGTTCGTACTGAAGCTTTGACTTCTGGGACTCACATAGCAGCTGGCTCATCGCACTCCTGGTTACTTTGTAATGGGGATGCCTGGGACGGAGGTCACCGAGTCCATCTCTAACATCAAACTCAGTGAAGCCCAGAGAGAGGCTGAACAGACGCCCTCAGAGCCCATCCGACCCCTTCAACCCTGTGGAAAGTACGATGTTGATGAGAGCGTGAGAGCCTGCGAGTTGGATTGTCAAGTATAGCATTGACGATACTAAGGATTGTCAGCCTTTCCTGTACCTGGAACAAAAATCGTACACGCGCAGAATTACGCCATGTCGGCGTGGGGCAAGACCGCAAAAGTCATCGTCGAATAACCATCCGGAGAAGACAGAACCTACTTCCTCAAGGTTGAATCATCTCACAACGACGGCATATGCAACAGCTGATGCTAATCTTTCAGGTTGTTACGATGGGTGCCCCGGGGAAGCATATGTGCGAAGGCGAATCTGAATCTCTGAAAACGATTCACACTGTTTCTGCTCGCTTCGTGCCAGAACCCTATGCTTGGGGAAAATATGCGCAAGAGGATCCTGAAGCCTATCTTCCCCTTGCAGAATTTCGTGATGTTGGTAAGCAATTATGTGCTTTGAGGTTTGTGTATTTGGGCATACACATGGCATGAAAGGTCTTCGCCAGTTTCCTTTCCCTGCTGCCCATTGCTCCCTAGTGGGTGTCCAGAACCCTTTCGTTTCCCTATCATCCAAATCGAAGACACTCGTTTCTCGTCTCTGTCACTGTCTCGACGTCAATTATATCACAGCCGGCAAGTCCTATGAAGCTCGCAGCTGGCCTGGCCAATCTACATAAGGAATCTGTGTCTCCCACCGGAAAGTTTGGCTTCCACATTGCTACCTGTCACGCCAGGGTTGCTCAAGCGGTCGACACTTGGGAAGACTCATGGTGTGCTCTCTATACAGGACACCCCGGGCATATGATGAATTTGGAAAAGCCAATTCTTCAATGGCCTGAATTCGACGTTGTGTGCAGGCTCACGCTAGAGAAAGTTGTTCCTCGGCTTCTTCTGCCGCTGTAGTCGGGGGGACGGTTTCTCAAACCCTGCCTTAATTCACGGTGACTGCTGGGATGGTAAGTGATGACTCCCCCACCGGAATTGATGATCTTTTGTCTATAGTCTGAAGCAACACGGCTTTAGATCGGAGAAGGGGGGATGCATTTGTGTTCGATGCCTGCTCTTTCCATGGTCACAACGAGTACGCCACCGGCAATTGGAGGGCACCTCGGCACTGTCTTAGCAAACAGACATACATAAGGCAATACAAATCCCGGCTTCCAGTGTCACCACCCAAAGATGACTGGGATGCCCGCAATATCCTCTCCTCGCTGACGTTCAATATCGCCAATACTATCTTCATACCCGGGTCATGCCAACGACAGGTGGTCTATGATGAGATGACGGCGTTGTGTAAGATGTTTTGCGCCAATGACCTCAAACGAGACTTGAAAAGTGTTGGAAGAACGGAGTTTGAGAACGAGCAGGCGGCGGCAGGCACGGATGCTGATGAAGAGGATGAGGAAGAGGAGGAATGAAAGTAGAGTGTAAAGGGTAGTCTATCGAGGAGGCAAACATATCGATCTAGGTAGCGACAGGGTCAGGCCTTAGCTTCTAGCATTACAGTCAACGTGGAGGACTTCAGTCATAGAGTCTCCGAAGTAGAAATCTAGATGGACGGCTCATTGATGAATGCCGCATCTAACCAGTGGTTCCCTCGCATGTATAAGATAGTGCAAAATCTCGCGCAGATAAGTAAGGTTTAGCACCTCACATCGGCCATGCTTGAGATCCGAACCAACAATACCAACTTCCCACTGGTCCGCGCCTGCATTTTCGACGTAGACGGCCTACTAATCAACTCGGAAGACATCTACACCGACATCTACAACAACATCCTCCACTCGTACGGCAAGCCCGACTTACCATGGAGCATCAAAGCAAGGCAGCAGAGCAGAGGCCGCGAGGCATCCTTCACCCCCACCTCCGCCTTCTCGTCGAACATCCGAGCTGACAGCAGAAACCCAGGGCATGCTCCAGCTCCTCGACTGGGCCCAATTGCCGATCACGTATGACGAATGGACCGCCAAAGTCAGTGCCCAGTACGAGCTCTTCAAGACCTGCACCCCGCTCCCCGGCGTCCCTCAACTTCTCTCCAGCCTCTCTTCCAAGACCGATCCAGCAGTCCACATGGCCATCGCCTCCTCCGCCACGAGCAAAACCTTCAGGATAAAAATATCCCACCTGCCCAGCATCAACTCTGCTTTTCTCCAGGAGTGTCGCGTCTTCGGCGATGACGCGGCGATGAGTGAGGCGAGGAAGAAACCGATGCCGGATGTTTTTTTGTTGGCTCTTGGGAGGATTAACGCTCACTTGGGGCTTGGGGAGAGGGAGGTGAGGCCGGAGGAGTGTTTGGTTTTTGAGGATAGTGTGGCGGGGGTTGAGGCGGGGAGGAGGGCGGGGATGAGGGTGTGTTGGGTGCCGCATAAGGGACTACGGGAAGTGTGGAGAGGGAGGGAGGGGAGGGTTTTGGAGGGGAAGAGTGAGGAGGAGGAGAAGAAGGAGAAGGACATGAATAGTAGGTTAGGTGGGGAGCAGAAGGATAAGGAGTCCGAGGAACAGAGCCACTTGTGGTCTGAAGATGGTTGGGCAGAGATGCTGATGTGTCTAGAGGAATTTGATTACGAACACTATGGTATATGATTGGACTACAATTGAGATTGAGGTAAAACAGCGCTACGCATACCGCAACAAGGGGGTAGACCCTCCTCCGTTTCTGCAGGTTCGGTGACGACGTGTTTGACTTCAAGGCCGAACCTTATGATATCGCCGTAAGGAATAATTGTTTGAATCGGTCCCAAAGGAAAATTCGAGCAGATGGCACGGCCGACTTGCAGCGTCAAGGGATTAATACCAACCTTGGAAAGTTTTGCTAGTACTGCCCGGGACAACTGCACGCTTTCGCCAAGAGGGTTCTACCCATTGCACTGTTCCTCGCTGCTAAAACACCTGAGGACTCGATATCAGAGGTCCAGACATGTGGGTGACTGTGCCAAGTTGGACGACTACACCGCATATATGGTTCGGCTCATTTGTTTGCTCGTGACGCAGCTGCAGATGGGAATTTCATGGAGCGACATGCTTTCATTTGCATGCCACATGTCCTCAGAGGGTCCGTCAACCCTGCCGTTCACAACCATGTCGACGGTGCCACCGCCGAAGTATCGCCTCTGTTTTAGAACATGTCCTGCCGCTTTCCTGACGATCAGTGCTCCAAGATCTGGGAATCCGAAGATCTTATAGAAGCTCAAGGCCGTAAAATCTGGCGCTGTATCTGGATTACTGAGATCCAATGAGGAGGTTGCCACATAAGCGGCAGCATCCAGAAGACTGTACACCTCCCGACCCTGTTTTGAGGTTGAACGCAATCGGGCAGGCCAGTCTAGCGGTAGACGTCGCCCATTCATGTTGCTTTGCGCCGGATACGCAAACAGTCCCAGTGCCTCTCCGTTCATTGGTAGATACGAGATAGGTCTTGATTCCTTCATGTGCAACCAGTTCTCCACTTCTTCGTCTGACTCGAAGCACCTTGCAGTTGCCCTAGAAGTCTCTCTGGCACCTACCAGAGACGTATGAGAGTCGGCATGGTACCCATACCAGGACCCCTGTAAGGTTTGTCCATCTTCATCGCGGCGGTAGTCCGAGAGGCAATCCACCACTGTTTTGATAGCTGCCGTTGCATTTGCAACGAAGATCAAGTCGAAGTGTTCTGGGTCCGCCTTAAAGAAATTGAGTGCCCGAAGTCTCGCTGATTCCACGCTGTCTGTCGAGAGCATTGATGAAGGGGAATTTGAGTGAGGATTGCCGAAGAGTTGAGAGTTCATATCCCTCTCGAATTCCTTCATAAGAGACCTTGGATAGGGCGTTGTTCCCGCATGGTCGAGATATGTGGTTTCTGGGACCGACACAGCATTAGAGCGTCTCCCAGACAGACGGCACGGTTGGTGGCATACCTTCGAGAAGAGGGTAATCCTCTTTCCTGATGCACTCAATAGATTTGGGGTAAGGACAGCCATCTTTACCGTTGTCCTTCTCCCTGGCCTCTCGCTTATCTTTCCAGTACGTTAGCCACATGCTGCCTTTCACAGTCACACAATCGAATGATCGTATTCGAAATATCACAAGGAACAGCCTGGCACGGGCGTGAAGTTTGAGTCTTGAATGTTGTTTGATGGGAGAAATGGATTTTCACGCCATACACTTGACAACACAAAGTATGATTGCACAGCGGTCAGCTGAATAAAAGGCACTAGGACCCAGCCTGATCCCCGATGGGATCACCGGCCCCTCCACCGTCAAGGCTGGGGGAGCGGCGGCAGGTGTGGTCTAGACGCGGCGCCCGTTGCCTTACCTGAACCCAACATGATGCCGTGTGTCCGATTTTCCCCATTATTCAACCAACGGTATCCTATCACGAGGTAGCATCGCCAGACGAGGCCATCGAACCGCTTCACGGACGAGCTGCATGTTCGCCAATGCATTAGATTCCAGTTGAGCGCCATTTCGTCTTTGGCCGATTCTAGGCCTCGTTTGGTGCACTGTGGAAGCCACTCGTATCTACCCGGAGTATACTCTACCCGGATGTTTACACTTCGCCTATCCGCAAAAATGAATTAGATAAATAGAAAAAGAAAATCACGGAGTATAGAGTGTGATTTTTGATTATTATAGAGAGTGCATAGTATGAAGTATCCGGGTAGATACGAGTATCTGCTGCAGCTCCTTGCTACGAACAAATATTGGTGAGTACTGTAGATAGGTGAGCGTTTGGCTATAGGTCGCTTGTTCACCGAGGCGGTGTGACGAAGAGCAGGTGATTCTAGATCAGTCTGTCAGATATGTAGTGTGTATGAAAGACACTAAGACTACAAGGTGCATCTGTGGGTGAGAACCCTAGACATCCCTATTTAGTGGAGTAAGAACTTCTTTCGATTATATCGTTTACTAAAGCGGCCCTGCTTATGAACGATGTCTACCTATTTTGGGCTTCATACCGTAGCTAGGCGTCTAATTCAAGTACTTTAATGTTCCAGGCTGCCATACATCGAGAATGTCCCCTCAAGTTCCTCTTAAAATTCTGTTCCCACCAAGTCCCTTCTGCGTATCACCGTTGGTGCCGTCGCTGAACCACCTACGTAGTTCTCATTGCCGGAAATGCAACGCCAATAACCCTAGCACTCTGTATCCAACAATAATCCCGATTAAAATACCAACCCACTTTCCTGTCCTGCCCGTCGCGTAGCCGTAAGTCTCCAACACCCCAGTTCCCGCAATCTGGCACTGCGGCGCAAGAGGGGTGTTGTACATGCATTGACAGCCGGAGCCGCACGTATAGGTGCGCTGAGAGAATTCGTTAACCATCATGCCTTGAAAGACGTAGGTCTAGTAGCCAGTGACTATGGTTAGCAAGCGGGCCAATAGTTACAAGAACGTTGGGCGAATGGAGGTGGGCTTACCTGATAATCGATATAGTGGAACACATACTTCCAAAAGACATTCAGAATAGTCGGGCTCACCAAGAAGCCGCCCACACTCATCCAGAGGCCGTTCGCAAAAGCGACGATGGCGAGCGCCACTACGAAAACAGGGAAGAGTGAAGATACCAGCACGACAAGGGATTCGGCTGCTAACAGGTCCAAAAAGAGCCACATGATCCACAACATGAAGGCCTCACCGCTGGGGCGGAAATTGGTAAGCCAGTACGCGATTACGGAGAAGATGACGGCTATGAGGAAGAGGTAAGGAAGTCCGATGATAAAATTTGCTATTAGGAAGGGTAAGGCGCCATAGAGGCCGTTGGCACGGTCTTTGACGAAAGTAGCGCGATCTTCGAGGAAAGCGGGGACGTAGGCTACGGCCATAAAGGACATGAAGGCCGAACCAAAGAAGATTGCGTTGATGAAGGGTTGGATGGAGTCCTGCGTGGTAGGAAGTCGGAGCCAAACTGTGCCCATCATGATAGCGAGGCCCATGTACATGGCGATGCGGATGCCATAGACTACGACGTCGCGGTAGCTCTTGATAAACATTCTCAAGAGGAGGGCTGATATTATAGTGAAGATGTCTGGACGACGGGAGTGATTTTCGAGTATCGCTATAGCGGGTTGATCTATCCCCTCCTTCGACGTGAAAGAAACGGTGTGTTGCTGCTGATTCCAGGTTGCGTGTATACTATCCAAATCCCTCTGCGCCTGTTCTCGATTAAGGGCAAAGTCACTGTTCGTAATGTCCAGAAGGTGTTCGGCCGGGTTGGTTTGTGGAGGTACCGGGAATCCGGCGGACTCAAAGTAAGGAGTAACGTCTGACAACGGTCCAAAATAACACGTTTTCCCCTGCGAAAGCAGCAGCAACTTATCGAAAAGCCTGAATGTTGAGGTGGACGGTTGATGAATGCTCGCTACGATCAAGAGATTATACCGTCGGCCTACACTGCGCAGGTGGGATATGATCTCGTAGCTGGCAGAGGAGTCGAGTCCACTAGTTGGCTCGTCGAGGAACATAATCTTTGGCTCTGTGATGATTTGTGCGGCAACGCTGGCTCGGCGCTTTTGTCCTCCACTGATTCCCTTGCGCAGCGGAGTACCGATCAAGGTGTGAGCTTGATCAGTCAGACCGAACGCTATGAGAAGATCATCGACGCGGGCTAGGCGTTCGCGTTTAGTGACTAGGCCAGCAAGGGAGAGGCGGGCGGAGAAATCGACAGTTTCGCGGACGGTAAGGGAGCCAATTAAAGCGTCTTCTTGCTCGACATAAGAGCTTATTTCGCGAAAGGCGGACTGGGGTAGATGCGTCCCGTTAGTGAGAACGGTTCCGGTAGTGCTTCCTGAGCTGGTGCTCCTGCGCGCTAGGGTGTTGAGGAGAGTCGTCTTGCCGGAGCCCGAGGGTCCCATGAGAGCAAGGATCTCTCCTTCATTTCATTAGTCGAGGTGTGCACGCATGCAATGGAATGTTTGAGGTCATTTCTTACCAGCTTTAAGCTCACCATTCACATTGTCCAGCAGCTGTTTAGGTGCTTTTGTCTTTCTGTCACTGACCGTGACGGAGATATCGTGCCAAGAGAGATTCTTGATGGTCGAGTTGTAGAGGGATTCTGAAGCCGCACCACGCTCCAGGTCGTGGGTAGAAGTTTCGGACTCGGACATGGCTGTTGGATAAGTGCTGGGAGTATCAGCAGACCTTGCAGAATCTGGCAGAAGTTCTCGCATTTATGAGCACATGAGGTGACAGAATATCGGCGACGTTCTAGCGCAAATGTGTCACTTGGGAGTCCTGGTGAGCGGAGGCGTGGAAGGAGAGGAAGCAACAATGCCCCACGGAAACGGCAACAGACAACAGAATTGAAGAGTTGGCGATTGCCTGGAAAGGTAAAGCGGCTGAAATAGACGGGAGGTTCGCCTAAGGTAAAGTAGGTCGCTGTGCCCGACAATCTCCGACTCGCCGACTACCGGAATAGGTTTAGACCAGAAACCTATCCCCTTGCTGTTATTGTAAGCCCGCCCAAAATACAGTATTAAATGGTTAGAATTCGCCTCAAGCGAGTGTGGATCGGTCCTATTCAGCGGTATCGAATCAGGAAGACCTTATCAACATCATAGGCAGGGAGAGTCGCAAGAGTCCACGCAACTAATTCTGGGCCAGGAAATCATTAAACCAAGATTCATCGTTCCCTTGCACGAGATCCTCGAAGTTGGCTGAAAGCGTTTCTGCAATGCCGGCTTCTTCCAAGCTATGGTGAGCCGAAGTAGTGTCTCGTCTGTCATCCGGGGACCTCACGTTCCGTGGAGGATCAAGGACCGCTCTTGCCACACACTTTATTTGGCTCAAGACGATGCTGGCCATTTCCCATATTTCGCTCAGCTTTTTGAGCGCTCCTATGCTCATCTGGATTTGCTGCTGCATGAGCGGCCGTTTTTGACTCCACCCTGCTATGCCATAAGCGCTTAGATGAACGATAGCCTGCAAAGCCACAGCGCAGACAAAGAAAGGCGTTCGCGAAAACAATGAAGGCGGTGCGCTGATCATTTGGCAGATCTCATCGGCCGCATCCACGGTTTTCTTCGTGTGGTACAGAATGGACTCTGAGTGCCAGGTTGCAGCATTTGGGGCGCAAGTAATTTGATGGATGAGCCCGGAGGCGGCTAGAATCGATCGCGGTCTGTGCAGATATATGTTGCTGCTGCAAAGCTATTAGCTTTGAATGAGGAACCATGGGATGGAATGCCTACGCGTGGATCATCATATGAGTCTGAAAGAGGATTTCGTTGATCGACCCATCTATATTCACAAAGCTTTGCATATGCTTCGGAAGATGCAGGACTAGATTCTCCAGTACCAGCTCCGCTTCTGTGTACGACGGTGGTGCCTGCAACGATGGGGCAATGGAGACAGATATGATACCACTCAGGGCTCGAGCAGCAGCAATGCGGTAGGAAAATGATGAGTATTCAATCTCCTCTTCAGCGAAAAAGCGACAATTAAACTCCGCCAAACTTCTGGCCCCAGGGTGGGCCTAAAAACTTTTCTCTTTTTTTTTTTTTTTTTTTTTTTTTTTTTTTTTTTTTTATTTTTTTTTTTTTTTTTTTTTTTTAATTTTTTTTATCCTTAATTATTTTTTTATTTTTCCTTTTTTTTTTTTCTTTTTTCCCTTTTTTTTTTTTTTTTTTTTTTTTTTTTTTTCATTTTTTTTCTCTTTCCTTTTTTTTTTTTTATTTTTTTTTTAATTTTTTTTTTTTATTTTTTTTTTTTTAAATTTAAAATCCCTCGTTAACCCCCAACTAAAATTTCCCTCCCCTACGCGCAACACACATCTTTTTTCCGGGCTCAACTCTTTTTGGTAAAGGTTACGTAATCTACGCCGGGTGTGGTGGAAAACGAGCTGCTAGCATCGTGTTGCCGGGCTGGACCTGACCTCTTATTACTTGTATGTTTTTCTGCGATATAGGAATGCTTGGTAGAATCTTAAACGGGCTCGTGGTAAGGATTTTCTTCATTAAGCTAGCAGATTCTAGTCCTGGCCAGATCCATCAACGTGCATCACTTGATCATAGACCCTTTCTGACGGTGTAAATAGAATACCGCCGTGGCCTCCAAACTTAAGTGTCAATTCTCAATGGCTCCTCTGTCCAGCAACATCTGCACGATTCGATCATGACCTCCTGATAATGCTGCCTGCCGTGCGCCACCATAAAATCCACCTTGAGCGTTAATATCCGCACCGTTGTCTAGCAGTATCTGTACCACTTGATCATAACCTCCTGATGATGCTGCCTGCAGTGCGTTACCATGATATCCACCTTCAGCGTTGACGTCCGCACCCTTATCCAGTAGCATTTGAACTAAACTATTATGGCCTTGTGATGATACTGCCTGCAGTGCGTTACCATGATATCCACCTTCAGCGTTGACGTCCGCACCCTTATCCAGTAGCATTTAAACTAAACTATTATGGCCTTGTGATGATGCTACCTGCAGCGCGTTACCATGATATCCACCTTTAGCGTTGACGTCCGCACCCTTATTCAGCAGCATTTGAACCAAACTATCATGGCCTTGTGATGATGCCGCCTGTAACGCATTGCCATATGTTCCACCTTGAGCGTTGACATTCGCACCCTTGTCTAGCAGTATCTGTACCACTTGACCATAACCTCCAAATGATGCTATCTGCAGTGCGTTACCATGATATCCACCTTCAGCGTTGACGTCCGCACCCTTATCCAGTAGCATTTGAACCAAACTATCATGGCCTTGTGATGATGCCTCGTATAACGCATTGCCATATGTTCCACCTTGAGCGTTGACATTCGCACCCTTGTCTAGCAGTATCTGTACCACTTGACCATAACCTCCAAATGATGCTATCTGCAGCGCCTTGCCACCTTGAGCGTTGACATCCGCACCCTTATCTAGCAGTATCTGTACCACTTGATCATAACCTCCTGATGATGCTGCCTGCAGTGCATTGCCATATGCTCCACCTTCAGCGTTGACGTCCGCACCCTTATCCAGTAGCATTTGAACTAAACTATCATGGCCTTATGATGATGCTATCTGCAGCGCCTTGCCAGGGATGCCACCTTGAGCGTTGACATCCGCACCCTTATCTAGCAGTATCTGTACCACTTGATCATAACCTTTTGATGACGCTATGCCTAACGCGTTGTTATTTTTACCATCAAACTTGATATCAGCCCCTCTGTCTAGTAATACTTGCACAACTTGATCATGACCTGCTGATGATGCTATCTGCAGTGCATTGCCGTAATAACCACCTGGAGCATTGACATCGGCACCATTATCCAGTAAGAGGTGTATCATTGACAGTTCTCCATATCTAGCAGCAGCGCCTAAAGCATTGTATGCTATTCCGGAGCCGTAATTTATGTCCGCACCTTTTTCTAGAAGTCGCAATACCGTTGCACTGTCATTCCTTCGAGCAGCATCTGCAAGGGCATTCCCCTTGGTCTTCCCTTTCCCATTCACCTCTGGTTGTTCAAGCTGCTTGATCCCCTCCATACCATTGCGTGATGCTTCCTTGAGGCGTTTTGAGTAATTCTTTTCGAGATCCATCGCGCGTCCCATGTGCAGGATTGTCTTGACAGTTGTTTCATGATTGTTTGAAGCAGCTCTGCTCAACGCTCGAGAGATCGTCGCCGAGAGGTTGGGGGGCCTGCTTGCCAAGTGCCCCACAAGGGTGCTGGTGGTGCTCAATATCCCTTGCACGATATCGTCGTGCCCACCAGAAGAGGCCTCTACGAATCCCTTCCTCCATGCCGCCTCCTCCCAATGACCGGTCCACTTCTTATCAGAAGGGCTCCATAGTAATCTCACAGCGTCAAAATTTCCATGTTCTAGGGCTATCAGGAGCGGAGTTCGCCCCCGAGAATCCTCTGCGTCGACGTCGACATCTGTGCTGAGAATCTTCTTTAGTAAGTCCACATGGGTGGTCTCCACTGCCTCGTGCAGTACTGTCCGCTCATTTTTCGCCTTATGGTGAATTTGGTCCGATCCCAAAAGCTCCAACAATACCAAGGCCGCACCAAAGCTTTTCTGCTTGACCGCTCTGAAGAGGAACCCAGTCTCATTAGTCGGATACACTGACATCTCAGCGCAGAGGTCCCGGACAGCTGATGCATCGTCTCGATCAATGGCATTTTCAAGAGCCTGGCTTAACGAAGCTCGCTTCACGCTTGGAAACATAAACTCTTCATTCAGCTCGCAATGGCAAAGCTGCTTATGCCTGGTGAGATCAGCACGTGTTGGGAAACCGATCACCAAATATTCACAGCCTTCAACGGTGCATTTGTGTGCTCGTTCGTGAGATTGCAGATGTTCGTCTCGTAGATTGCGACTGGCGAAGCCTCGCTGAAATCGAGAGCATTTTTTTATGGGACATTTGTAGAGAGATCTGCCGTACGCTTCGGCTAGTAAGGGCGAATGTTTAAACACCTGCGGCGATAGCTTTTCCAAGATGCCTCTAACCTCGAAGACCCCTCGTAAGATATATGGGGTCAATGCTACAAGAGGCAAGACCATTGATTAGCGGCATTCTAGCGCACTCAGTGCCATTACTTTACCTGAATCGGTTTCGTTAACACAGATGTTGTCTACCATGTCGTATGACTTTTGACAGTCGTCCAATGCTGCTGAGATACTGTGCATGTTGAAATCGAGATCCTGGGTGCTTGAATCTGAATTACCAATGGCAAATTGTGCGAAATGTCGCTGAAACAAAATGACGACTGCTGTCTTTAGGCTTGACATATCAACATTGGTCGCTAGTTCGCCATAGTCGGTCAAACATTTGATATGGTGAATCCAGTTCAAGGCTGCGTACTCCTGAAAAGCGTAGTCTCCTTTGTGGACTGAAACTCCAACGTCGGATAGGTCCAGATACGGACTGAAGCACGGAAGTGTAAGATACGAAGCACACAGGAGTGCCAACCTCAAATTAGCAGCGCTAGGATTGACGAAGTAGCCGCTATGGTGCTGGAGCAAGTAACTAGACAGAATTATTTTACTGCTCAAGGTTAAGAGAGAGTAATGCTTACTCCCTGGCCGTTGGGTGGATAAAGTTGATCGAACCATCTAGATGGACTTCGACGATAGGCCCTAGAAGCTCATCTAGGGGTGCTACTGATCTCCGATTTTCGAAATCGATGCTTCCATTCTCTAGGCAAATTGAGAAAGCACCTTGTACTTCGTGAATTGTTAACGGTCGCGTGGCCATGACGAGTACATCTAAGCCAAACTTAGCACGTTGCCATCTCCTTGTTGGTTGGTTCCTTTTCTGCATTCGATCCAAGATGCGTGTATACCTAGAAGTTTTAGCGCAATGCATTTCATTATCTGAGTCATAACGCTCACGCCTGCCCTATTCCGTTAGGTAAAACCCCGTCACTCAACTCCTCCTCTAGATCTTGGCGGCAATCCTGATCGATGAGATTGTCCATGATTAGCCGAGCTAGAAGAAACATACCTGAGTGGTCTTGAATCAGCTGTTGACGATATGTAGGGTTATGGCCCACAAACCCTGCGATCGTCTTGCTATGTCCGCTATAATGGTTCTCTGACGCTCCAGGGCAATTGAAAACTTCTTGCTCAAGTCTAGTGCCCGCACTCGGACGTAGTCCTTGATGTCCTTGTCCAGATGATAGGGTCTGATATCGAGTCGGCTTGCAGAGCGTAGCGAAATGCCAATATCCTGCTCCTTGCGACTGGTCAAAAATACGCGTATGTTCCTTTTAGTCTTTGAGGCTTTGAGAATGTTGTGGATCATCAGCAAGGTTTGCCGTCTCTCTGGCTCTTGACATTCATCTAAGCCATCAATCCCAATGAACAACTGCTCGTGGTGCAGAGCAATTTTTTGGAGCATCTCCGTGCATAAATCGTTTGCAGAATCTGGGTGACGATTGACTCTACCGATAATCTCATCGTATAGGTATTGCGAGCAGGTTGGGTTCAGAGCCAGTAATTGTGCAATCAGACAGCGGACAATACCGTTGAAAGATCTCTTGAGAGGATCATCGTATCTACAATAGAAGTAGATGACTTCGGACTCTGAAAGCCTTTCATTGATGTCTTCGACAATAGAACTGAATATGAATGTTTTACCTGATGTACGCCATTAGCAGTCGAGGCTTTCAATTAAGGCACTGACGCTATGGACCCTACCTGCTCCAGGAATACCAGAAATCCAAAGGACAGGACTGCTCATCTCACTCCCCCAGGACCACTCAGATAGCTGTGTTGTATCGAATACCCAGCGGGTAGATGCTGAGTATAAGCGTTGTGCTTGCCGAAGCTCTTCGTGTCGGTTCTGACAGGAAACGTGTGAAAGCCAATCTACTACGAATGATTTCCGATGTTGATCGTCCCTGTAATTCTGGGCCTCAAATTCTTGCGAAATGCGCAGTCTGGCATCCTGGGCTTCTCGAAAATGCCAAACACTTGCTGTCTGAATAAGAAGCTCCTTGGACCCTTGAAGATTCTTGACCACATCTCCATACAAATCGCTAAACGACCGAAAGGCCGTTTTAAATGCTATTGTCCATGCTATATAACCATCAGTATGTATCTGAGATGAAAAACCTGATACCTACTTCTCTGCTTGAAGAAAATAACGGCCCTACTATGAAACTTCAAGATGTCCTCGTAGACATTGGCCAGAATCTGCTGTACGTAGTGTCCTCCACGAGCAGAGAATAGAGTGTCAACAGCTGCGAAGACTGGCAAGGATTCTCCGATTCTCGCATAGGCTTCGAGTAGGGAGTCGAATGCATCCGACAGTCGTGAAGCAACCTGGATAATGCGTATTAGTCGTAGAAAGCCCAGACGAGTTGAGGTAAGAGGATGTTGCTATTGCAAATTATTACCTGAAGGCACAATTTTACGGGGCCCTTTATGGAATTAGCGGATGCTTCCAGCAGAGTGGATTTATTTGAGGTATAAGGTATGATACCTATCTTACTGACCCAGATGAAAGCTAGAAAGTCGGGTTTCGCGCTAACAAATTGTTCAATGACTCGCGCATACTGCTGTAAGAATTCCAAAAACGGCCTGATCTTATTCAGATTGCGATAACCGCGTCGATGTGCTTGTTCATTTTGGATACTATCAATGGCATTCCTGAGTTCCTGGAAACTGGTCAATCCAAAGGCCTCGATGTCTCGTAAAGAGAGCTGGCACTTGAAGGCTTCCAAGCTACGAGAGAAAGCAGGCGGAGTCGGAGACAGAGGCATCGCGTCAACAACGATGATGATAGCTATGTCTGCGATGGACAAGACGACCCCCTATAAGTGTACGGTAGCAATGTTGCTCTTTGTGAAGGCATCAGAGGGGACACCCGTGACAGCCTCGCAGCCTGATCCTACGAAATGGTAAGCGCAGTCCTCAGCCTTCCCTCGGCTCTTCCGAAGCTGCATGATGGCCAACCAATGGAATAGAGTCAGATCAGCCTGATGAAGTGCCTCGGCGGAAACGGTCTCGAGGCTCTGAATGTGCTTTTGGAAGGTATACCTGCTCTCTCCAAGAGGACATCATCTCCATCAAACGTCCTAAGGATACCCAAATGCTAAAGATGTCGCACCACAAGAGGCCTTGGGACAATATCCCCACTGTGACCAACCCATCCGGAGTTGCTCGTGCTAAAAGGAGAGCCGTTTCGCGTCTCAGCGTTCACTCAATCCTCAATGACGCAAGCGACGACGACGACTCGGATCAGGACATAACCAGCGTTACAGTAGAATCCACCTCTACAGCCTTAAGCGAGGTGTGCAGCGCACTGAGTGCATCTTCATCTCCACGGAAAACTACAAGCCCAGCATTTGGCCAGTCAGGCAGTGTGTCAGGAAATGTTGGAGAACAATGGCCCAGTAGGAGAGGGATATGTTTTGGGATGGTGAGGTCCAATAAGCGCTTCAATTTCAAACTGTGACTGACTAGATAACCCAGCTCCTCGACGGCAGGATGAAATCGTTGCAAAGAAGTGGGCAGAGTCATGACATTCTGAGCTCAGCACTGGAGAATCACGTCGCGCTCAGACTGCGATTCAGACACAACTCGACTACAGTAATACTACATCCCTTGGAAGAGATTGGAGTACTCGACAACAAGACGGCTGCGGCACTGAATTCACTGAAAGATATTGCGCCGACTATCACATTTGAGCTTTTTTTGGATCGCGAGGAAGACCAAGATAGCTCCGGTCGGCAGGGAAAGAAGGCAGCATCCATTCGTCCTCTTCAGATCCAGATCTATGGGCCTGATGAATACTACAACAATGTCGGTTCGGCGTTGTCGAACGCTGGCATGTATCTACAAGAGCCAGGCTTTCTTGATCATGGGACAGGATACCGAAACCCTCATTTCCTCTCCTGGGATAACAATCCAGAGACACCTTTGCTCAATAGGGCACGGAACGATCCTAAGGCCGACTTCACAGCCAAAATCGAAGCAATAATGGAGTCTTTCAACCCCGCGCTGCAGGCCTCTCATGTGAAACAAGACGCCCGGATCTTTACGATTCTTCGGAAGTATGATCTATAGAAACAACGCCCCACACTAAAAGCAACGGCTAACTCGAAGCTCGAAAAGCCATCAACTGAGTGCCCTAGAATTCATGCTCACTCGAGAAGATGAACACCAGAATACCTTGTCACTGTGGAAGCCATACAATGTCAACAACAGAAATGGGTGGGGACACTAGAAGTGCACGTTCAGATTTCTTTCAGCTTAAAAACGACAGGTTCACCCATACAATCACACAGGAGAAGCGATCCATAAAGCCAGGGGAATGTCGTGGCGGTATCCTTGCAGATGAAATGGGAATGGTCTGAACCTCCTTCCAATGGTCAATGTACTACCCCAAGGTCTGTCAAATACTGACTCCCGATGCCCAGGGTAAATCACTCACACTCATTGCACTTATGATGCATACTCTAGACGTTGCGCGCTCTTCTGGACAAGGCCGGAAACAAGGCTCTGTTCAAGTGGAGAGAGGCGAAGCGGCCCCAGCGCCAACACTTATCATTGCACCAAAGTCAAGTACTGGACCCTGCAGCCCTTCCACTCTACCTTGTCCTGCAATGTGCTAACGTGATCCTCTAGCTTTATATAGCTGGGAGCTGGAGATCGAAAGGTTTAGGTGATCACCGCCAGAGCTAAGTGTCGAGCTAACGCCTTCAGACATACTTCTTCCCATCTCGAAGTTTATGTATATCATGGGCAACGAACCACCATTGATCATGGAAGCCTCGCGAACTACGATGTGGTTCTCACGAGCTACGAAACAGTCTTGTCTGACGCAAATAGATCGAGGAATCTGCAAGCTACATTCTGGTTTCGTATCGTCCTAGATGAAGGTACAATATGAGATTTTTGTTACTCTCCTCAATATAATACTGATCACTTCTTCCTATAAAAGCTCACCATATACGAAACCGTACAAATGCATTTCAGGCCATCATAAATCTTCAGACAGAACGAAGATGGTGTCTTACGGGGACACCTGTCCACAATGATCTTAACGATCTATTCACGCTTACTGAGTTCTTAAGATTTCATCCCGTCGAGAATCGCCAGAACGCACGTCGCTGGGTCTTGGACCCCTTAGAAACCAAGGAAGACTACGCAATAGAAAACCTTCGGCTCCTCGTGGGGACTGTGGCTCTGAGAAGATCTAGGAATTCTGAGATGAAACATGTCCGATCCGACGTTGAAGTGGCTGTTACTCTTTCTCACACCGAACGGCAGCAGTATGACTCAATCCGCACCAGGGCACGAAACATCGTTGCCAGCGTTGAGAAGACAACGCCCGCCCACAACTTGTTATCCTGCATACTTCAAATGAGGCAGGTTTGCAGCCATGGACTACATGAGCGAGGCTCCAGGCCAGAACCTGCAGATGCACGAGTACCTGTGTCCAGCAACACCGTCTGCAACAAATGCTTAGAGCTTTTGCCCGGTGATCTGATACACAACTCAAGCTTAGCTGAGAGCGGCGAATCAAGATACTGCCCAGAATGTGCTGCGGAAGAAAGCAGCACTCTATGCCTAAACACTGGCTCATTCTCGTTACAAAGCCGTGTTTGCTGGGATACAAGTACCCCCAAACCCTGGACGGGCGTTGGCGTCACTGATGTTCCTGGTGATGATGATGGCGGCGACATAGATCTCAATGCATCCACAGTATCAAGACCGGGATGGTCCTCGAAGATTGACAGCGTGGTCAATAATCTTGTCCAGCTTGAGCAAAGGCGACACCCTGATGCAAAACCCATCAAAAGGTAAGATAATGGTATCGATTCGGATCCAGTGTTTTGCTTATCTATGCTCAGTCTCGTTTTCTCGTTCTGGACCAGGACTTTGGATTCTCTGGCATGCGCCTTATCAAGTCGCAACATGGCATCCGCACGTATCGATGGCAGCTTGGGTCTTGACCAGAGAAGAAGAGCCATAGAAAGATTCCAATCAGAGTCGGATCTGAGGATCATGCTACTTTCTTTTGGAAGCGGCTCCGTGGGGTTAGTAGCTTCGTGAAAACCGAACAGTGCGCCAAGTTTGAAGCTAACAATGCATCATAGTCTGAACTTAACGGCTGCAACGCATGTGCACCTTGTGGAACCTCAGTGGAACCCTATGGTCGAGGCTCAGGCTGCTGCACGTGTCGATAGACTTGATCAAGATAAAGATGTGGTCATCCTGCGCTATATCGTGAAAGACTCGATCGAAGGGGTATTTCGATAATAGCGGCCTATCTGTTCCTTCGCTAATTGTTCGTCCAGTCAGTCAAGGCTCGGCAAAGGCGCAAGCTTTGGCTTGCGAAGCTTTCTACCCCTTATGCAACGACGGCCATTGAGGCCAATACGGTAGATAGCTTGGAGGTGCGAAAGAAAAGTCTTCATTGTGGAGAGGTTACTGACGAACGAACAGGACTTGCAATCGCTCATAGAATGACTGCAGATTTGCTTAATGACGAGAACGGCGATAACTATAAAACCAGCACCACCTGTTCTCGTGTGCCAGGCGCCGTACATACGCACAGAAGCAGTATCGAGTGTGAACCAGACATGGATTCAAGGCTATAAGCCATCGAGGTCGCCCCTTAGAACGGCACCGGCGCAAGAGGCCCTTATGAGGAGCATAAATGATTACCGGAAGATCATGTGTTGCGGGACCTGTAGCTTCGTGATATTTTACAGCAGACCCGACCTAGATCATGTGAATGACGTAGGAAACGGCGTGGACCCACAAGATATCTGACAAAAATAACTACCGAAAGGCCGACCAAGTTTCCACATAGCCTTTAAGCAATATAGATCCGCTAATCCAATGCGAGAATTCCAGGGGGCATGTAGGGAGTCGTACTTTGATTCAGGGCGTCCCTCTAAATTTGAATACCCTCGACATCACTCCGCGGTCAAAATGAATAGTTGTATAAGCAACACTGTCAATAGCTACGAAGGACACATCTTGTGTACTCCGCTTAGCGCTCCGGATGGGTTCAACTACAACCCATACGCAACAGGCTTCCCAGTATCTCGGAGTAGAACGTATCTCACAATCCAGGTCAACCATTTAATGGGCTTGGAAATGTGCATTGAAATGAAAAGCATGGATATACATTGGGCCTGCCAGAATGTTCGGGAATCTTGGGAGTGTTGATGCTGCTTTCGTGCTCTCTTGAGTGGTCGTGAGTAGTCCCGAGTGACTCTCGATTGATTTCGGCGGAGTCTTCTCTCGACTGGATGAGATGGCGTGGTAGATATTAGCTTGCAGCTCGATAGTCACAATGCAGTGAACTCTTTCCCAACAAGACTGAACCAGGAAATGGTTTTGATGTCTTGGTATTTCGCATGTTTCATGTACGAGAGAAATAAGGATCCGTGATGGATAGATGATGAGGGGGTAGCTCACCCTTGAGGGGACTTGGAACGGCAAACTCATGCTTTGGTGGGGTGGGAAAGGGGCCAAGTGTTAGGACCGTGCCAGATTAAGTCAATGGTGGTGTATAACGAGGATATCATTGATAGGGAAGAAGTATAAGAGTTCAGTTGACAGTCAGGAAATGGAGGGCGGCGAGGGGCGGGCCGGCACACTTCCGTACCGGAAGAAACAATCCACCCGCATGCAGATTACGCACGGCAGGTTTACACGACAGCGCCTTGACCCCTTTCGACCCTAGCGTGCGAATCCCTCGGCGAAGTTCAAACCAACTTTCCCTCGGAGAACCAACCCCCCGTAATCTGTAGAGATAAAACCGCCCCCTCAACCATGGCGCCCCTCACAGCCTTCAACCCCGCCCTGGGCCCGAGCCTCTCGCAGTGCCACCCGGAGCCGGTGACGCTGCACATGAAGGAAAAAGCCTTCTCGCTCAGCGGGGAGGATTTCACCGTCAAGACGGTCGGTGGCGTCGAGGTCTGCAAGTGCAAGGGGAAGCTGTTGTCGCTGAGCGATAAGAAGGGTCAGTGCTTTCCTGTCCCTTCGGTGTTGATGCCACGGGTCGGTGTGGAAAGGAAAGGCCAAGGAAAGGAAAGGAAAGGAAAGGAAAGGGCGTGATGTGTGGTGGGGTTGGGGCGCTGATCACGGGTGACGAACATCAACAGCCTTCACGGATATCCAGGGCCATGAGATTTTCGCCCTGAAGAACAAGCATTTCACCATCCACAAGACGTTCCATGCGGAAAGCCCCAAGGGGCATGAGTTGTTTGTGATCACGAAGAAGTTTACGGGTTAGTGATTGACTGCGCTGTGTGTCTGTCTTACACCTCGTCTTGTTTCCGTTACGGGGGGCCTTCATCCTCG